CAACTATGCAATTGTTTATTATCATAATTGAAATGATTTGAACATATTCCTAATGAATGTATTCCATTCTTATTTGATATTAAGATTTCATTTACCGTTTCAAAGTCTAATTCCCAAATTCCACCAAGTTGCCTTAATGGCTTAGACACAGAATGAGAGCATCGTTGTGATGTTCCATTAAGATCATCTATTATAATGCATGTGTTATTTACATATTTAATACGTGAAGAACTAAGTTCTATATTTAGTTCAATTTCTTGGTGACTATCGATTTTCCATGCTGATTCTTCATTAGATATAGTGTCAAGTTCTGATGCTAACCAATTTATATCAACCTCTTGACCCTGTTCTTGCATTATATGTGATGTTGAATTGGCATACAATTTGGCCATCTCTACGGCTGCTTTATCAAAATGAATATCATGTGAATTATTATATATATTGTTATCCACATTGCTTGCGCTACATGTAGATGAAGAAGGTGTAGTTGTAGTTTGTTTAAGACTTTCTGGATTATCTCCAATGCTAATATCATCAAGAATTTCAAAATCCTTATCAGGATCACTATATAAATCCTCTCCATAAATGTTCTCAGTACTCAAAAATGGATTATTCATTAAAATAAAGGTTCTGCAAAGTGCAAAATAACAAAAAACTATGTATTATTGCTATGAAAAATTTGATGTTTAAATTATTTACTTCAACAAAAAAAACTAAGTATAGCATATAGTAACTATGAAGAATTTGACTGTTCAAATAGTTCAATCAAAAATTTATTACTTCAAAAAAAGAAAAAAGATAGGTATGTAGAATTTGACTATCTAAATTGTTCATTCGAATATTTCAAAAAATAGCCAAAAAAAACCCCCAAATATTATAGCTATAAAGAATCTAACGATTCAAATTGTTTATTCAAAATTATGGTTATTCAAAAAATATTTGAAGCTTGTAATTTCTATATAAGCTTAATGGACCTGCATTAAAGAAAAAAATATAAAATATAAGCAAAAAGTCTTGTGTAATATATTTACAGTTGTTTCACTTCAATTCAAGATTCTTTAAAGACTAGACCTTTTACAAACAATAGCTTTGTAAAATATTTAAACAAAAGACTAAAACTTATACTTTTAATAAACGCAGTAATAGAGTGTTTTAACAAAAAAAAAAAAAATTCTCTTGAAGAGAAAAAAGCATCATAATTCATATGAAATTTGCGATGTGTACAAAAAAATTTATATATAAAGGTATAGAACCCCCCCTGCAGTGTGACATATCCCCTGATCGTTAGGTATTTTAGCAATATTCTGATTATATTCCAATTAACAATCTTAAAATCATTGTATAAATTTTTGTTACAAAAAGTATTCAGAAAATATTCCGAAAACATTTTATATTTGAATTAGAAAATTTCAATAATAAAATATATTTCGGAAAAACCACAGGAAAGAATCCGATTTTATATTTATATTATATTTATATAAACTATATTCCGAAAAAACTACTTGAAATAATCTGTTTTCTATTTATATATAAATTAAAATTTTTAATAATAAAGTATATTCCGGAAAAACTATAGAAATCGATCTGATTTTAAATTTATATTAAAATTAAAAAATTTTAATAATAAAAATATTCTAGAA